GCAGGCGCCGGACCGGCACGGCTCGAGCTCCGTCAGGTCCGGGCAGGCGGAGCCCCCGTACAGCGGCGGGGCCAGGACCCTGCGGACCCGATGCCGCAGCCCCATCCCGCAGGTCCTGGAGCAGGCGGACCAAGGGGAGAACCCGGACACCACGCAGTCCCGAGGGCAGGGGATCAGGCACGCCTGCTCGAGGCGAGGCTTTGGCTCGAAGTATTCACAAATGACGTCCTCGGTGGGAGAGCCGTTCGCCTTCTGAACACAGGCCACCTCCCGGGTCTGAATGCCCTCCTCTCCTTTCACACACACCGGGGATTTATAAGATCCAGAGTTTCTCAGTGCCACAGGCAGGCACTGATTCCACTTGCCCAAGTGCCAGTCATACAACTCCCTGTGCCAGTCACACACCCTAAAACAGCTCTGCTGGTTGTCTGGCCTCTCAGCCTGTACACAGTTCGTGTCCAATGTTGTCCATCCTTCTACGTGAGCACACCAGACCTCCCTGCTTTGGCTGCCGCCTGGCCCGCAGTCACTTCCCATACACCGCCCCCAAGGCCCTGTGAAGGCAAAAGGAAAGAAGTGCCATGAAAATAAACCCCTCTCAGCCACTTCAGATAATGTGTCCTTGAGGCCTCGAGCGCTTTCATCACAAGATGCACATTTTTAAGCACTAACGTAACCCTAAAATAAACCCTCGCTCATTACAAAAGACAGTCATGTTTTCTTCTGCTCATCGACCGGGAGGACAGACGCTCACTCAAAGCTTTTTCCACAAACAGCTCGTGTCTTGAGAAAGACTGAAAATCTGAAGCCTTGGGTGATCCCAAAACAATGTGTCGGGAACTGCTGGGGTTTTGTATAAAAATGCCACTGTCGCCTGTCTTAACATTCTCTGCTTGTCATTAGTGGTGTGAAACCTGAAAGAGATGTTTAATGAAAAATTAACAGAGCCAACGACTTCTCAGGACTCACAAGACTTCTCAATTTCTTGGAAATACAAAAAGGGAAAAAATAAAAACAAGAATGTGTATCAATGAGTTTATATTTCTCATCTGATGGATTCTTCGAGTGTCCTTTCTCCTGGGCATATATTTTTTTCATCATAATAAATGATTCCATCACAGAGTGTCTTAAGGTGAGAATGGCTGCATTCTGTATGAAATAACCCTTCAGCAGGCTCACCTTTGTAATTTATATGTTGCCGCTAAATGTCTCAAGCAGACGCCAGGTAAAACCACAAAAGTAGTTCAAGAACTGTATGTAGGATATTACAAAAACAATAACGATGAGAGGTGCTTTCAAAACCGAAACAAGATGCACCCCAGCTTTTTAAACCTATGCTAACCAAAGGGGTACGTGAATTAGCAAATTCCCAGTACGGAGGAAGAAGCTCTAGCCCTGGATTTTCCAAGCACCATCCACAAGATCCCTCAATTGCAAAAGCATCTAATCTAAAGCAAAGTCTCATGCTTTCAGAAAAATGGCACTCATTCACCAAAGAGCAGCTTGCCAGCCCGCTAAAATCAAACAATGCAGTAGCAGAAGAATGACAGAAAAATAATGTCATGTCATTATTTCACAAAAGTGTGAGTTTTGTTATTGAGTGCTGGTTCCAAGTCGAGGACTATGCTTTATAAGGCTTTGCTACAGGAGATGTTATCTGTCTGCACCAGTCCCACTGCATTGTTTCAAAGATTATTCACACTGTTTCACTTCTTCACCTGCTGTGTACTGGGAGACTGCTGGATAATAACCTACTTTGTGTCCCTTAGATTGGTGCTGCACTTCAATATTGGATGGTCTCCTATATGTAAATTTAGGAGGTGACTGAATTTACTGTAAATCTTTGGGATCCACTGAGATTACAAAATTCAGGGTAATAATGTATTTGTGTATCTGGCTAGAAGACAAAAAGGCCAGCACAAACTGAAAGAGTAATACAAGTGACGTGCAAAAAATGAAACAGGAACTGAACACCTGGTTTGGATGCAGAGCATATTTATAGGAAATAACTGTAATTAACAAGTTACACTACTTGTCTGAGAATTAATAAACATTAATGCCATTTTGGGTAAGATGAATGATGTAGTTGAGAAATGAATTGTGACAGCTTCTGTCTAACCAGATGAGTTTTGATCAGGTATCAAAAATTAATCAAAGGCTGATCAATTTTGATTTCTGTGGACACCGAGAAGCAACAGTGGAGAGTGAATCACTTTGAATGTGGGGGAAAAGAGAAGGATTAATTAATGCATGGTAGAAGACTTTATTTTGATTGTAGAGGATAGACGTTACAGCACTTTTTTTCCAGAACAAATCCTCAATAACTTTAATTGTACTCCACAGACATACCTACAGTACTTTACCTCTGACAGGTAGTGTTGTCCATATTTTCATATACTGTAATGTGATTTTTGCAACACCTAATATGACTTATTGTCATATTAGGTGTTGCAAAAATTGTAAGTAATATGACTTACGTGTGATTGTGTTTTTGTTTCTGCTTTGAAGGTTGTGTGAATGTATAAATATACATTTATCTAAAGTACTAATGCACTATTAATCCGCTTCATAGTCCTGGAATAGTAATTCATTTTAATATGATGACCCCCGGATAATTGTTTCTGAAAGATCCTTTCAGAACCTCATTTCACTGGATCATTTCAGAATGATGGTAATCACTGGTACAGAATGATGGTACAGAAAGAAACCTGCAACTTTAACCACCAAAAAAGAAAAAAAAAACATTAAGCCAAAGCATACATTTCAAATTATCCCTTTAGGAATAAAGACAGATGGCTATGAAGCTTGAAGAATGAAGTCATGCTTTTTTATCCAGGCATTACAGATCCTCTGTTTCAGATAAACTAATTCAGCAAAACAAAGCAAGTTTCCATCCCTTTTATTACTAATATTATATAGTACATTAACATTTCACAAAATAAGATATTTTACTCATATTATATTACACAAGTATCCTTAATTACAGCAGCTGATGAAACCTAAGATCCTGGAGACTCTACTTTAAAGCCTATGTTCTTGGTACCTGGACAACATTATTTATTACTTTTCCTGTTGTTTGATGTGTACACAAGACTACCCACAGGCCAAAAATCGAACAGAAAGAAAAACAGAAGAACTCAAACACGGCACCACCCTGTCTACAAGTGATTTCAGACAAGCCCAGCCTGGAGCTCTGCTGCACACAGAGCAGGTGGGTGACATCATGGTGTTTTTCTCCTACAGTACATGACCAGGAGGCAGTGGTGCAGCCCTTGTGTCCACACACCCAGAGGCTCTATTCAATAGCCGTGCCGTCATTGCAGGACCAGCGGATGGCTTGTTTGGTGAATATTTATCTTTAGCCCTGCTCCTAGAGAGCCCTGATCCAGCAGGTTTTGTAGGACACCATTAAATCACCAGTTTCCATAGACCAATTTACTTGTGATCAATTCTACAGGTGATCAAGCAAGTTAGAGATCATTACGGACTTAGTACAATGTGTCTAAGTACCCCTCAGACCTCAAGGCTCGGTCCCGAGGTCCAAAAGAACAATTAAGTTATCTTTATTGAACAGATTACTTGTTTGATTCATCAGCAATGTACCAATGTTGTTTGTCTTTAAAAGCAGGTAACCTATAGGATTAACTGGGCTGGAGCTCCAAAGAATCAGGGTTGTTGATCCAGGTACAGTTGGACTCTAAGCTTTGCTGGAATAAAGATGGAGTTACAGCACGTGTTTGTTACAACAAAGACTTTGACATATTGCATTATTATCAATAGTAATACTACCACAGGATTATTAACAGCAAAACAGTTTTAATATGTACACTCTGTCTCTTATAGCTGGGTTTAAGTTTAATATGGCTGCAAAACAGTTATTAAATTACAGTTCTCAATTCCTGAAGCACATTCCAATGTTTATATACTTTAAACAGTTATTCACTGTTTAAGATGAAATAGCTAACATAAAAACTGTCAGAAATTAAATTATTTGAAGTTTAGTCAGAATACACACAATTCATGCAAAGTTATTTTACTTCTAATGTTTGGGCTTTATGTATGAGGTCTTCACTGTACTATTGTGTGCATTATGAATACTGTTCTTACATCTGGAAGAAACATGCACACCACAGGCACACACAACCATCACACCTTGACATTTAAACATTTTTTCAATGTTTTTATCTTCCACAATAAACTGAAAAAAAGCTTTAGTGCTATGCACACAGAATTTCAAATATCTCAATCATATTTCTTATTGTATGTTAATAATATTGTTATTAGTAGTACTACCTCTGCATGATCAACAGCGCAATATTTTCAATATAAAGTAAAAAACCTTTTTTAACAAGAAATGGTACAAGACTGTCAAATCTCTAGATACTATAGATTAAATAAATGTAAGAGTAAATAATAAATAATGCATACTGTGTATTATATTATCTTCTTTTCAGACACTTCTTTCTCCAAGAATGGCTAATCACCCCCTAGAGTTCCCAGCAAGAATCTAAAAATATGCCTGCTGGAACACTCACCCTGTACTGTAAACGAGACTAATCTGAGATGCCACTGCTTTGCTTGTAGCAAAGGGGATATCAGTAACGAAACAGGGAATATTATTATGTGTGATGAACAGAAAGTAATGCCACCTCTTTATTCCTTGAAATATAATATATTTGACAATTAATTGTTGCAGAGCTATCTGCAGGAATATCTGGAGCTCTGCAGCAAAAGGTTGGAAAGTAAAATTTTGTTGCAACAAAATATGTTTTTCCTGTGGGTTTTTGTGGGTTCTAAATTCGATTCCTGCCTTAAAATTCTTCTGCTTTGCATTTTTATGTTATTTTTTTCTGTTCGCTTATCTTTTCTACTGCATACTGTACTGTGTGTGAGCATGTGTGAGCCCTGTAATGGACTGGCATCCTGTCCAGAGTGAATCCTGCCTCGCACCACTTATCCATTCAGGAAAGGTTCACTGCAATCTTGTATTTGACTAAGCAGTTGTTGATAATCGATAATTGGACAACAATAATATTGATTGCAGAAAAATTAGTATAATTCTAAATGATATAATCATGCATCTGCCGTGATTTATTTTTTAGAACATTGTTTTTATTTTTCTTCTAAGCGTGTACGTTCTTGGCCACAGGGTGTGCCCCTGATGTCCTTGACATTCTTCAGTGTTCAATTGTCATTTGAATATTTACAAAATATTTACTTAGGCTTTGCTTATCAGCTCTGGATTTGTCTGCCTTCCTCCTTTATTTGCTCAGTCAGAGAGTGTGGGTTCACATGCATCACTGTATTGATCTCCATTAAGGGTTTTTCTTAATTTCCAGACAGGAGCTCTCAAGGTCAAGACTGATTCCACAAGGTTGAAGAACATGATTTACTACAGGACCTGATACACAATAGAGACTCGGAGCCTTATTAAATCACTGTTCACTTTAATGCATTCCATATCCCCTGCTGTTCCATATTACATGCTGTTCATTTTAAGGTATGTAAAGTGGCAGAATCAGCTGTGGTCAAAATCAGTGTTTAAATCAAGTAT